TATCTTGGGGGCAATCAACAGCTACCTAATTGTGCTAAAAGCCCACTCAGTAGGAGGAAACTCGTGTGGAACTGTAAACATAACCAAATACACATGGCTGGAAAGGTCATAGATCTAGAGAAAACCCCAAGACTATCACATCCCTAGACTAATGTAATTTCTAACTATGCAAAATATGTATCCTTATATTTACAGACAAATATCTCAGTCACCACTTGTCAAAGAAGCTTCTTTTGCACCAGATGGAGACTTATTACCAAGTCCCACAACTGGTCACAGAGACATTGTCTATAAATTCCCAGGCCTAAGTGACACATCTGCAGAGCCTTGTTGGCTTGGTTGTCATGAACTGCCTTAATTTGTGTTTGTCTCGAAATACCCTTATTTCTCCAGCAATTTTGAAAAATAACTTTATAGAGTATACCATGTTTAATTCACAATTATTTATAAGCTTTCAGAGCTCTCATACTGCTTTTAGGATAATTCTTTGTAATTTTGACATCCTGACTGATGTGTCATGAAGAGCTTCTTCTCTGGTCACGTACTTCTGGAGTGCTTGATACCTTTTGTGTTTGGGTGTCTACCTCTTCATGTCTGAGAAATTTTCTTCTATAATTTCAATTAGTCTATTCCATTTGATTTTATTTCTGCTTCCTCTTTTCTACCACGAATCTGTAGTTTAGCCTCTTGAATGTATCCCAGAGTTCTTGGAAATATTTTTCATGCTCCTTACCTTTTTTCTTTATATATATTGATTTGTATTATTGTCTTAATTTTGTCTTCCATTCTTGAGATTTATTCTTCTGCATGCTTTTGTCTATTAATGATGGTATCTGTTGTGTGTGTGTGTGTGTGTGTGTGTGTGTGTGTGCGTGTGTGTGTGTATTTTGTTTTGTTTTGTTTTGATTGATCATCTCCAAGTATTTCTGTTTGGCTCTTTTTCAGTGTTTTAGTCTCCTTTTTGAATTTTTCCTACATGCCTTAGTATTTTGCCTCTAATTTACTAATGGTTTCATTCAGTTTTGTGACTGTCTTTTTGCAGTCTTGGATAGATTTCTGTAATTCGTGCATCTGCTTGTTTGAATATTTTATATGATCATTAATTATTTTAAAATGTAAGACTGATTTGTTTCTCAGACATTTTGGCTATCTTTGTAGTTAATCATCTGAGTGACCTTTACAAATGAAAATTTTTTAATATAGTATGGAATCTCTTTTCCTTCTAGATTTTTAACTTAAAACAAGCCCAAACAATCTTGCTGACACAGAATTTTTTTTGTTCTCCTTGGAGAGAAATAAGGAGGCAAGACCAGAGGATAGAAGGCAATTAAGGGATTGATAGTAGTGTAATTTCTTAGAATTTATCTTTAGTACTTGTTTTTCAATGAGTTAAATAGTTTTAACATCCCATTTTAACTTAGATGTTGTTTTAGAGCTATTTTTATAGTTTTCTGTTTCTTGTTTTTTTCCACGTATATTTTTATTGAATTTTTGTACATTTCATATATCTTTTAAAAGAACATTTGAAAACTATTTTATTGATTCAGTAATTTTATACAATGTAATTTGATCATACCCAGACCCCTCTTTTCTCTCCATTCCCACCTTACTAGCCTTCCTCCCAACTTCATGTCCTCTATTATTGTCTTTTTTTCTCAATGCATTTTTATTGAATTTTTTGTTCATTTAATATATCTTAATCATGCCCAGATCCCCTCCCATATCTGAACCCTCCTTTAGTGCCCCCCACCCTGAGTCACTCCACCAAGGGAGATTAACTCTCTCTCACCCAACAGTAGTCAGCTTGGCTAGGCTTGGGGTCTCCTGCCCGTTTCCCCAGTTCTATGTTGGGTTTTTGTCTGATTGAGGTTGCATGGTTATTATACATACTATTTCTGTTGCTGTAAGTTCATATGAGCAAGTTCCCAGAGAACTGGAAGATTCTTTCTCTTTATGATCATGCACCAACCCTGCCTCTTACAATTTTTCCACCCCCTCTTCTGCAATGATCCCTAATCCATGGTGGGTGAGGTTTAATATAGAAGTCCTATCCACGGACACACAGTCTGCAGTCTCTTATTCTCTACACTTTGGCAAGTTGTGGTGGCCTAAATGCATTGTATTCTGATGCATGAGGAAGCGTCGCTGGTGAGAGCTGAGATATGCATTAGTATTCTCTCTACCCCATTCCACTTTGTTTCCTGAGTCTTAGATGTAGACTTTCCATTGTAGATGTGTCATATAAGGCTGGCCATCTCACAGACACTTGTTCTCTGTGTTTGGCCAGTAGTGGAACTCTGTAATAGTCTCCATCTGTTTCAAAAAGAAGCTTCCTTGATGACTGGTCAGAGGTATATTTGTCTGTAAATATAAGGATTCATATTTAGCATACAGTAAGAAATTACATTTGTCTAGGAATGTGACAAGGTAGGGTTTTCTCTAGGCTCTATAACCTCCTCAACTCTGTGTATTTGGGTATGTTTACAGTTCCTCCCATGAATTCCCTCCCATTGAGCAGGCTTTAAGTCCAATTAGGTAGCTGTTGGTTACCCCCAAGATAAAAGTGGCACTGCTGCACCAATATAGTTTGCTACGCCCATTATTGTTGTGGTTATTAGACTTTAAGGCTGGGGTTGGACCATTGATTGATTTTTCTCTTCTAGAAGCTTGCATAGTGTCCTCCAAAACTATGAGAGCTAGTCTTCAGGGAGGAGGTCCATTCAAACTCCATTGCTCCAAACCCTGAGCCTGAAATATGTCCTGTGTTTGGCAATAGGCTCTTACCTTAAATTCTGGGAGGTAATCAAGGGCCGTGGCAGTAGCCTATGTTATTTTGCCAATCTCTTGAACTACTCTGACCAACAACTGGAAAGGACCTTTTTCCTGTCTGGCATTCTGTTTCTTATTATATAGCCTTTAGCTATGTACATGTATTCATGTGTATTTTTAGTAGGTTTTGAGCGAATACATTTCCCTTTGGTTTTTCATACCACCTAAGCTTTATTTCTCCTTCTCTCTCTGTTTAACCTTCCTCCTCCCTCCGTAGTTAAAGTTCCCCAATTTGTCCCATTTTTTCCTTATCCCCCCTCTCTTGAGCACCTTCTTCCCTTTTACCTCTATGGTTCCTTGTATTTCCTTCCCTCTTTCCTTCCTAGTTAAATACCCCCATTCTCCCATTTCCCCTTCAGTAACATCTGTTTCCTACTATTGACCTCTCTTGGGCTCTTTATTTCCATTTACCTCCAGGTTCTTTTCCATTTTCCTGGCTCCTGAGTTTACATCAGGACCCCAATTATATTGGATAAGATCAAGAGAACAAATGGCACCAAATGCTGCTGAGAATTGGTGGAATTCACTGCTGGTGGGATTGCAAACTCGTCCAATCACTATGAAAAAGCAGTGTGGAGAACTCTTAAAAAACTAAAAATGAATCCACCATATGATCTGTTATATCACTCTTTGGATATACCCAAAGGACTCATCCTACTGCAGAGATATTTGCTAGATTCATTTTAAAATTTTTTCATACTCTTTGCTTGATTAGTCCAGTTCTTCAACTTTATCACCTAGTCTTGATTTTTGTTTTCCTTTTCATTCATTCTGCTTGTGAAGCTTTCTCCTGTCATTTCAAATTGACTTACTGAATTTTCAATTCCATCTTCACTTTGGCCCGAGTTTTCTCAGTATTTCTGTCTCTTTTGTAAATTTACTTTTCAAGTCCTGAAATATTTTGTCATTTCAGTCTGCCATATTACGATATTTCTATTCTCTTGAGCTTCAGTCAGGAGTTTATTCCTACCCTGTTTGAGTTGAGTTTTTCTGTGTTCTTTAAAGTTGTTGAATTCTTTGATCATGTTGTTTGTGATTGTTCTTTCAAATTCTGTGTCCTCTGGTTCCTCTGGGTAGTTCTCATTATAGTACACTTCTGGGGGACTGATGGATTTTGTTAGGGACATATTTTCTTGGCTTTTTGTTTTTGTATTTTTACATTGTGGTTTGGGCATTTGGGCTGTGTGTCTGATATGAAATTCTTGTCTGCCTTTGTTTAGTTGCAGTTTTGTTCTGTTTATATTGTTGATGTAGCTTGGTTGCATTCTGGTCATACACTAATAGTTGATCTGTGCTTCAGGTTCTTACTTTTGATTTTGCATTGAGTGGACAGTTTGGTTCCAAGCTGATTAGTGAGGAACTCTGTGATTAATGAGGAGCTCTCCCCCAGGGAAAGGGAATTCAAGACTTTGGGGATCCAGTGGCTGGGTTTTGGCAAGCTAGTCAGGAGGTCTCAGGCTGGAAGGTCAGGAGTGGGGACTAGGGCCAAGGGGTGGGTTCAGCGTGGGAGGTTCTACTTAGCTAGGTAGAGTAGGTATGGGAACTGAGGCAAGACAATGTAGCCAGTCTGGGTGCAGGATATCAGGATACAGTGGGTGCAGGTCTGAGTTAGAAGACTGTTCAGAGGTCTGACGTGGGAAGAGACAGACTGGGCCAAGGCTGGAAGCAGGCCAGTACTGCTTGAGGAGAGAGAATGTAACTGATCAGGGTACAGGGGAATCAAGCAGCAGTGGGTATGGTCTGATATACCAGGGTTGTCTGAAGGTCTGATGCTGGAAGATCAGGAGTGCCTCTGGGTAAGGTGGAGGTAGGGACAGGGGAGGGTCTGTTTAGGCAGGTTAGGTGTGGGACCAGAAGCCAGAAAATGCAGCTAGTCTGGGTACAGGGAATAAGGATGCAATGGGTGGGGTCTGGGTTAGGAGGGTATCCAGAAGTCTGCTGGACTTTTGGCCTATGACAGAAATAAGAAGTGTGGGTTTTGAGGGTTTTAAGCATCTGGACATTGGTTTATTTTCTCACAGATTTACTTACTCACTTATATCTTAAGTGAGAAATGGAAACTTAAAATCTTTAGTTGCTTTGATAAATGATATTTATCATTTCAAGTGAAAGTGTATCCATATACCCTACTTCAGTCTGAGTTATTTTAATTATTGTTTTTTTTCCTTCAGAAAAAAGAACATATCCGTTCCTTGACTATGTGTGGCCATGTTGGTTTTGAGAGTTTACCTGATCAGCTGGTTGACAGATCCATTCAGCAAGGCTTCTGTTTTAATATTCTCTGTGTTGGTGAGTGCCAGTAACTTCCTCTAAGTTTTTCTTTCATATTCCCATGCTCACTTCATCCTTTGTATAAGCATAGTGATACTTGAGTTAGAAATTTAAGATAATGATGTTATGGATTTTCTCAGTTGTTTAAATTCTACTAGTTTTTTTTTGTTTTTTTGTTTTTTTTTTTTTTGCATGTTCCTAATCTTTTAGTGTCCTCTTTAGAGGTCTGAATAACTTAGCATGTTTAATCATTGCTCTCCTAGTGATTTAGGACCAGCCTTAACCTAAATTTCTTTGATGGGCTACCTAGACATTGTAGGAGTTTACATATGTGTTTCTTCTCAATGACCCCATGCACTTTTGAAAGATGTACCTTTTTTTCTTTCAGGGGAGACTGGAATTGGGAAATCAACACTGATTAACACATTGTTTAATACTAATTTTGAAGAACATGAATCCTCACATTTTTGTCCAAGTGTTAGACTTAAAGCTCAGACATACGAACTCCAAGAAAGTAATGTTCGATTGAAATTGACCATAGTGAATACAGTGGGATTTGGTGACCAAATAAATAAAGAAGAGAGGTATGTGTTTTCTTTTTGTAGCAAAATAAGTTTTATTTCAGGGTAAGACATTTGCCTTCTTCTTCTAGAGCTGTGATTTTCCCCTGAGGTAATCCACACTTTGCCTCACAGATACAATTTTTCTTTTTCTCTTCCTCTTCCATCTCTCTCTTTTTAGCATCTAAGGAGTATATTGTTTTTATTCATGTTGACATTTTCTACTATATATTTCTTTAGAATGATTTAAATAATATCATTAAAATATGTATTTCATCAAAATAAATTGTGGTTATTTCCTGCTATTTAGTGTATATTCAATGATTGGTCTTAATTTTCAGACAAGACTTACCTTGACTAGGAAAAAATACATACAGGGTATATAATGACAAACATATATAATGGGCTATGAATTAATTTATTTTATTCTTTTTTTTTTCACTTCAAATTCCCACCAGAATAGGAGTTACATGTATTAAGCATTGTAGGAGATGTTTTGGGGTTTTTTTTTTCAGACTTTCATACATGAGTATAATACATTTTGATATATACCCTTCTTTTCACACCCAATTCTTCCTGTGACCTCCCCACATCCCTCTCAAATTCATGTCCTCTTCTAGTGTGTGTGTGTGTGTGTGTGTACACATACATAACCTATTGAATACAACTAATATTGCCTGTATACACATGCACATAGTCCTGACCACTGGGGGCACGGTCAGTCTGCTCAACTCTTGAAGAAAACTAACCCTCCCTCAGCAGTCACCACCTGCTTGTAGTTCATCTAGGGGTGAGGCTTTGTGAGCCCTTGTCTAATCCGTACTGGAATGTTGACTGGTGGCAGTCACATGCAGGCAACCATAACTGTTTGGGAATTCATAGGTGCAACATCCCTGTCATGTCAAAAGGTACTCTTTCTCAGCAGTCCTCCAGTCCTCTGGTTCTTATCTTTCCTGCCCCCCACTCTGTGATGTCCCTGAGCCTTGGATGAAGGGGTTGTGTTATAGAAGTCTCACTTGACAGTGAGCATTCCACAGTCACTTATTCTCTGTACTTTGACCAGTTTTAGTTCTCTGTAATAGCCTCCGCCTGCTGCAAAAAGAAGCTTCTTTAATGAGAGGGGAGAGCTACATTTATCTATAGTGTAAGCATAAGTATGTGGAAGGCATTTGGATACCATATCAATTTAGCAAAATGGTAGTATTAAGTTCTTCTCTAGGTCTATGACCTCTCCAGCATTGGGTTCTTGGCTAGGTTTACCAAATCCTCCTAATGAATGAGCCTTAAGTCTGATCATACAGCCTTCCCTGACTCGGGCCCAGCCAGGAATCTCACTAATAGGCTTTCCTGGTCACCTTCCTCACTCGCTCACCCCATATTGCTTTTCAGGTGACTCAGACCCAGCAGGAAGCTATATTCATGGGCTTTCTTGGTGAGTCCTTTCAGTCCCCCATCTTGCCACAGCAGCCAGCATCCTGACTCTGTTAGTAAATTCCATTGGCTTCCTAAGCACTGGCTAACCTGCCCCATCTCATCGGGATCTCACCCAGGTAGTCACCCATACCACCACTAAGAACCCAGTGACACCCCCCCAATACCCACTTAATTGGAATCTCCCCAGCCTCTCCAGTCAAAAATTAACATCAAGTATCATAAAAACTGAGCCACAAGCTCCTCTTATCCAACCTGAAATTAACCAAGTTTGGGTAATAGCAAATATAGAACCAAACTCCCACAAAACATAAGTGGACTAGAAACTCATCTCAAACACAACCAGAGAACTAACAACAGGTGCCCAGATCATATAGCAGAAATACTAGCAATATGAAAAGCCAAGACAGTATGCCTCCCCACAAAGATCACCAGTCATACAGAACTGGTTCCCAATGAGAACTATCTAGATGAACATATAGGAAAGTTTATAATAATACAATTTTAGTTCTGTTTTATGTCATTTCTTCTGTAGTTTTATAAAGATTATAGATTCTATATCAATTTTCAAATATGACCGAACCAAAGGAATATATTGGAGTAGCCTTTCATTCTTTTTTCTTTCTGAGGTATATGTACCTTCATTATGACAAATTATTTTCCACAGTCATTTTATATAAATTAACTCTGTATAATCCAAGTTTGAGCATGCCTTTCAGATGTATAAACAAATGATTCCTGGGGGCCTTCTGGAAAGGAATAAACTAATGGCAGTATATAGGCCCATGATGCCTTGTATTTAAAGGTTATTAATAAGTATAAGATGGACATCAAGTAGAACTAATTTGTATATAAGTAAAAGTATTTTTAATTACTTTTTAATTTTATGTGTATGAGTGTATTACCTACATGTATGCAAGTGCATCTGTATTATACAGTGCCTGTGCAAGCCAGAAGAGGTTGTCAAACGTCCTGAAACTGAAGTTACAGATGGTTGTTAGCCACTATGTGGATTCTGGGAATTGAACCTGGGTCCTCTGCAAAAGCAGCCAGTACTCTTAGTTGCTGATCCATCTCTCTAGCCCCAAGTAAAATGTTTTTTTCAATGATTTTTTAGATTTTATAGAAGGGTTTTTAATCAAATTTAGCCCACTCCCCATCCATGCCCACGATCCCCCCTCCCACTGGACCTCATTCCTCATGTATTCCACCATACAGGTTAAGTCCTATTCAGTCAAAACTTTGTACCCAGATGTCCTTTTGTGCAAATTCATCCAGTGGAGTCTAGTCAGCCTATATAGAAATCATTGGGAAGGCCTACTCTGACTCACCCAGTAGTAATCAGTCTCCATTAGTTCCTAGACTAAGGCCAACCTGCCACCCATTTCCTTTGATTCACTCTGGGCCCTTGTCTGATTGAGTTGGCATGGGTCCTATGCCATAAGTTCACATGTGCAAGCTTTCAGTGTCCTGAAATCCTCTGCTTCCCTTTGTTCATGAACCAGCCCTGGCTCTTAAAATCTTTCTGCCTTCTCTTTCTCAATGGTCCCTTGAGCCTTGATTAGGGGAGGTTTGATATAGGAGTCCTATCCAGGGACACACATTCTTCAGTCTGTTATTTAAAACTTGTCCAGTTGTGTCCTTTTGTGTGCATTGCACTCTTATATAAGGTGAAAGTTGAGGTATACACTAGTTTTCTCTCTATCCCCTATTCCACTATGTTCCATGAGTCTTAAAGGGTGTAGAAGTTTCGCTGTAGATATGTTACCTAGGACTGGGCATCTCTCAGATGTATAGTCTGTGCCTGACCAGTTGTGGGATCTTCTAGTAGCCTCCATCTGTTGAGGAAAGAAGCTTCTTTAATGAGTGGTATATGGTAGGTATACTTGCATATAAGGGATTAGTACTATGATCCTCAAATGAAAGAGGACATACATCACTTACTTTTCTGCATTTGTCTTAATTGACTTAGTATAATAGTCTCCAATTCCATCCATTTACCTGTGAATTTCATAATTTCATCTTTTCTTACTGCTGAGTAGAACTCCATTGTGTAGATGTGCCACATTTTCATTTGCCGTTCGTTAGTTGAGGGACATTTTGGTTGTTTCCATTTTTTTGCTATTATGAAGAGAGCAGCAACAAACATGGATGCACAAGTATCTCTACAGTAGGATGAGAACTTTGGGTTTATGCCAAGGAGTAGTGTAAGTGTAGATGTGGTATAAGATGGTGGTATAAGTGTAATCATAATGGTAGATTCATTTTAGTTTTTTGAGAGTTCTCTACAATGCTTTCCATAGTGGATATACAAGTTTGCATTCCCAACAGCAGTGAATGAGTTTTTTCCTTTTTCCACATCCTCACCAGCATTTGGTACTTTTTGGTCTCTTGCTCTTACCCAGTCTGACTGGGGTAAGATGGAATCTTAAAGTGGTTTTTATCTGCATTCTCTAGTTACTAAGGAAGTTGATCACTTTTTAAGCTGTTTCTTATCCATTTTTATTTCTTTGTTTGCGAACTCTCTGTATAGGTCTATAGCTCATTTTTTTAATTGGGTCATTTATTTTCTTGTCTTTGTTTTTTGAGTTCTTTGTATATTCTGGATATTAATCTTCTGTTGGATGTGGAGCTGGTAAAGATTTTATCCCACTCACTGGGTTTCCTCTTCCTCGATTGTTTCTTTTGCTAGACAGAAGGTTTGTAGCTTAATGAGTCCCACTTACTGACTTTTTACTTTAATGCCAGAGCAGCGGGAGTCTGATTTAGAAAGTCTGTTCCTACACCTATATCTTGGAGGATACTGCCAAGTTTTCTTCTAGCAGTTTCAGAGTTTAAGGTTTTATGTTGAGGTCTTTGATCCATTTGGAGTTGACTTTTGTGCAGGGTGAAAGATAAGGGTCCAATCCAATTACATTCTTCCATGGGTGAAGATCCAGGTTTACCAGCAACATTTGTTGAAGAGGTTGTCTTTCTTCCATTGTATTTTCTTGTTACCTTTGTCAAATATCAAGTGGCTGAAATTGCATGTACTCATGTTTGGGTCTTCTGTTGTGCTCCATTGATGTACTTGTCTGTTTTTGTGCTAGTACCATGCTGTTTTTATGACTATAGCTCTGTAATATAATCTGAGATCTGGTGTGGTGATCATCCCATTGTTGTTCTTTTTGCTCAAGATTGTATGTCTATCTGGAGTCTTGATTCCATATGAATTTTAGGATGATTTCTAGCACTGTGTAGAGTTTCATAGGTATTTTTATTGACATTGCATTGAATCTATAGATTGCTTTTGGTAGGATGGTCATTTTCACAATATTAACTCTACCATTTCATGAGCATGGTAGGTCGTTCCATCTCCTAGTGCCTCTCCCCCGACCCCCTTTGAGCCCCAGCTGGCCTGGAACTTGCTGTGTAAACCAGTGGGCCTTGAACTCATGGATATCTGCCTGCCTCCACCTCCCAAGTGCTTGGATTAAAGGTGTGCAACACCATGTGCAACTTGTATCTCTTGTTTAAAGATTTAAATTTTTCATTCTAGAGTTCTTTACTGTCTTTGGTTAGATTTATTACTATTTTTTTGTGTGGTTATTGTG